GACACGCACACACACACACACATACAGCAACCAACAAGAAAACGAAAGATGATGTGAACACACACACACACACACACACACACACACACACACACACACATACAATACACACACACAGATGACGTGAACACACACACACACACACACACACACACACAGACGCGTGCGCGTGCACCGGCGATGGCGCCAAGAAGACGCTTGAAGCACCTACCATTTTCGAATTAGAAGTACTGCCGCCACTTCTCAAGGGCATCACAGAAAGATGTGTGCCCCTCGTGAGGGCATTTCAAGGATGGACCGACGAAATGCAACCAGCGGCCCAGTAAGGGCATATTGGAAAGTTACGCCCCGTGCTGACAGGGTCCTGCGGAAAAGTTCAGAGGCCCGAGGGGCATAACAGGGTAAGTCGGCCTTCACAGGGGCACGCCGCAAATAAACGCAAACCTCAGGGGCATTTCGAAAATTTTCCCATGATGCAATTATGAATCTGAATGATGGAATCGCAATGCAAAATACTTTTTGGCAGTTCTTGCACCTCTTTTTCAATTTTTTTCTTGTTTTATTTTCAAACTGTGTTGATATGGTTAATCACAGTCTATGTGGCTTTGGGTATGCTGCCTATGCCTCTGATTGCTGTTTTGGGCAGAGTCTGAAAGCGAGTTGATGTTGATGTTTTCTTTTTGTCCTTTTCTGGAACCAACCCATGCAGAAAGCGGAGCTCATCACTGTGTCCGATTTTGTTGAGAAAAATGCTGATCCACAAAAGGCACGGATTGGCATTAAAGTGAAGAAGAAGGGTGGGGGCAAAGGGCCATTGAACAAGCATTTCTGGGTCAACTTAATGGCAGAAGGCGATCACATAGCGCGCTCAGACGGCGAAGTTAAAACCGAGCTCTTCCTCTCTGCAGAGGAGGTATGTAATCTTACTCTCTGAGGACACACTCGCACTAGTACTTTCCAAAATGCATCTGACTGGAATTACTGCCCGACCTGGATGAATCTTACTACAATCACGTCCAGAGCTCAGTAGAAAGTCCTAGTGTGAGTAAGTATGCCCTGAGATGGTGAATTCCTTCGATTCTCTGTATGCAAGTGTTGTGTGTGTGTGTGTGTGTGTGTGTGTGTGTGTGTGTGTGTGTGTGTGTGTG